TTCAGATGGAAATTTACTTAAAAATTCTAACAAAAAACCACAAATATCAAAACAACGTCCCACTTTGAAGGATACTGTAGGTAGAGCGAGAACTGAGCCAAATTTGTAGTATAGAAACAATGCGTTTGAGCAAATTGCAAAACCTCAAAATCAGTGTTTGCCCCCCGTCGGGTTTAGGTAAACCGTGTATTTTTGGGATATAACTCAGCAATTCGTTGCTGGGTGGGCCAACAATTTTTGGGTGGCCGACGAAAAAAACATATATATATATATATTAATTGCACATTTTTATACATTTAAAATAACAAATATTGTGTAAAAATACAAATCATTTTATAATATCATAAAATTTAAAACATTACCTGAAACTAATAGGAAAATGTAGAAGTATTGTTATAAAATATAATATTCATTATCATTTATAATTATTAAAAAAAAAATAAGAAAAGATGGTCAATAATAATTTTTTGTATGTAAATAGGGGCAGATTTGCAATAAATTATTTTTTTATTATTAACAATAACATGTGAAAATCTTAATGAAAAATAATGAAATAAGTTTACGCGTTTCGTAGTTGCTTTGGAATTATTTGGATTTGTGAACATTTGTTAGTGGTAATAGGAGGTGGAAGTAAAAGAAATAATTTGTTTGTGTGTATGAATTTGCATTTGCAGGTAAATTTGAAGCAGTAGAACGGTCGTGTTTCGCTTTAACGAGGGAAAGTAAATGGCGTTGTGAGGAAAAAGAGTCATTTAATGGTCCTTGGGATATATTGGTAGGCAGGGATGACGCAGTCGATGGCGAGAACATCAATTTCGGTGGGTGATTAGGAAATTTGAAATGATAATTGGGTCCCTGGGAACGTGGGAGTCGTGGGTGTTCCAATGGAAAGCACTTAGCGGCGCGGCGGTGATTTCTGTTTGCTTTCGGCGAAGGAGGTTCTATTCTTTATCGCGGAAGTATATCAAAGGCGCAAAAAACGAGTGATCTTCTTAGCTAGGAGGAGAGAAGAGTATTGGTTTATATGTATGTGTTTGTGTCGTGGTGGTGCATTTCGGAGTGCGCGGTCTTCGTGGAAGTTGTTGGGTCGGAAGATATGAAAGAGGTCCTGGCCGAAAAGGATGATTTGGCGCGGCCGAAACACAAACGCGCGCGGAATGGAACTGTCAAGGAGGAGGTGGAGTGGAGAGGAGAATGGATAGATAAAGAGAGAAAGAGGAACGAAGAACGAAGGACCCGGGGGCCAATTAGGAGAGTGGTATTTTTAACGAGGCCCCGGTAATAACACGGTTCGAACCGGATGCGCCGCCGCACAAGTCGATTCCGACGACCACTGCTGCTGTCACGGTCCCATTCTGCCACCCGCGTTCCACATAGTCTCTCTCTCCCAAAAAGAAACCAAAACCAAGAGACCAAACCAAAAACAATCAAAGAAAGAAAGAAAGAAAGAAAAAAAAGGAAGAAAGAGAGGAGAGAAAAGAGAACAAGAAGAATAACACTAACACTCAGCATCGACTCCTCAACCGACCTGTATTTATGCACCGCAATTATCTCTCAACTACGATACTCGCACACTCTAGACAAAGTAGGGCCGCGCCCCGGGCAACAAGCATTCTAACTTGAAACAATGCCCCGGCTTTCCTTCATCCATCCATCTATCCATCCATTCCTTCTGCACATTCCCATCGAATCTCACCACCTTCCCATCCCATCACATCACATCCAACCAGCTGTTTGTAACTTCGCTTGCTTTCTTGCTGCAACCTCGCACGATCCCAACGATC